ACTCAATTACTCTTACATTTTATTCTCTTTTTTTTTTTACTTTTTTACCTTCTCTCTTACATTTTCTATACTATTCTCACTTAAATCTTGTGTTATAATCAAACGTAGTCATCTTTTAAATATGAGAGAGTAACTAAATTGTCATTTAAAAGTGATAATTATTCAGGTGAAAACCTTAGATTTGAAGAGGGAGTAGTTATCACTTATCAGTAAAAAAATCAAATTTATTCAAGAAGATTGATGGATCAGGTTATCGGATTAATAGGGATTCTTTTTGGAACATTCGTTTTGATTGGCAGATGTTGGGGTTATGAGTGGAGCAATCATATTTATTCAACAAGATTTAAAGATCAGCGAAGTGCAGGTAGAAGTTCTAGTAGGCATTTTGAGCATCGTTTCACTTCTGGGTAGCTTAATCGGAGGAAGAACTTCAGACGCGATCGGCAGAAAATGGACAATGGGTTTAGCCTCCATCATCTTCCAAACCGGGGCAGCAATCATGGTCGTCGCTCCTTCCTACGTAGTACTGATGATGGGCAGATTTCTAGCCGAGATCGGAATCGGTTTCGGCGTCATGATCGCCCCCGTCTACATAGCCGAGATCTCGCCAACCGCTGATCGAGGATCGCTGACGTCATTCCCGGAGATTTTTATAAATCTGGGAATCCTTCTCGGATATGTCTCGAATTACGCGTTTTCCGGGTTACCGCCACATATAAACTGGCGAGTAATGCTTGTTGTGGGAATACTCCCTTCCGTGTTCATAGCGTTTGCTCTGTGTGTGATTCCAGAGTCGCCGAGATGGCTGGTTGTGTAGAAGAGGGTGGAAGAAGCAAAGGCGGTGCTGATGAAAACGAACGACAGTGATGCGGAAGCGGAAGAGAGGCTTGCGGAGATACAGTTAGGTGCTTGGGTGGAGATCACGAATGCTGATAAGTATGAGGAGAAATCTGTGTGGCGGGAGCTTTAGAGTCCTCCTCCTCCTCTTGCGAGGATGCTGATCACTGGTTTTGGAATCCAGTGCTTCCAGCAGATAACAGGTATTTTTTGTTTTAAATTTTGTGATATGCCCAACAATATCGTAAAAGTTGAGTGTTCTTAATACTAAAAGACTCGAACTGTAAGAAGTTTGCCAGATTTTTTATTAACACTCCTTCTATACAATGATAATTTTCTATAAGAAAAAGATTGATATATCTATGAAGGGCAAAAGAGTAATGTGAGAAAGTACAGTGTTAGAGAACTAGAGAAGTTCACTTGAAGAAGCTATTCATAACTTTGCAATAAATGAAAGTGAAGTCTTAGAATTTAATATGGGATAGACAAAATGTATATTGGTGTGATTATCACCTTTTGGTGGTTCTTTGGAGTGAGTTAGGGTTTATTAAGAATGAGTTCCATTAAAATAGATGAACTTGATAAGAAACAACATAAGGTCTTAAATGTGAGTTTGTGTCCTTTAATTTTGTTGTTATTTGGCTGGTGTGGTTATAATGACTAAATATGCGGCTGATGTCAGTGGGATGTCTTAACTCATAACGTGCGCCCAAGATGATGGCTCGTTAAAACAAACTAATTTTGAAATATATGTGCTTTTTAGTCTCAGTCGGATCAAGTTGCTTGCTCGAGTGCATGACTTTCATATCATATTAAGACTTGACTTACTTTCGATTCTTAAAAGGAATAATTTGATAGAGTAGTTCAATGCTATATATGTGAATCTGTATGTTGATATTTGGTCAAAATGAGATGATTTAATAGACCTAAGTTAACATGGCCTTAGAGTTTACCAAGATTGAGGTTTGTTTGTTTGTTTTTGTTTATTGCACTGAGTGTGGAGTTCAATTGGTCCATGAGGATCATTTCAGGGTGTGTTGATTGTGTTCAATCTAATTTCTCACCTAAAGGATGATCAGATTTGGAAATACATATCTCTTGTATAGTGGTGATATGGGGGTGTATTGTGGTGTGTGAAAAACTTTGCCTTCTAGTGCTAATTGGGCTGGACTTCACACAGTATGACTTTTATACTATTTGTAAACTTAATAAATTTATAGATAAGCTTAACAACATAAAGGAGTTTCAAGCATGTCATCTTCTATGCAAGGTGATTTTGACAAATTTTTTATGTGTGATTTTTTAACAGGTATTGATGCAATGGTTTACTACAGTCCAGAGATCTTAAAAGCGGCTGGTATTACTGGCGAGTCAAAACTGCTTGCACGCCTTGCAGCAACGGTTGCAGTGGGGATCACAAAGACGGCATTCATATTAATAGCTATATTCCTCATAGACAGAGTAGGAAGAAAGCCACTTTTGTATGTTAGCACAATAGGGATGACGATTTGCTTGTTTGGATTGGGGTTCGCCCTTACCTTTCTAAGTAGTCAAGGATCGCTTGGCATTCCAGCATCCATATTATTTGTTTGCGGGAACGTAGCTTTTTTCTCGATCGGTTTAGGCCCGGTTTGCTGGGTGTTGACGTCAGAGATATTTCCGCTGAAGTATCGAGCTCAAGCATCCGCATTGGGAGGGGTAGGTAATCGGGTGTGCAGTGGGGTGGTTGCTATGTCATTCCTTTCTGTGTCGCGGGTAATCACGGTCGGTGGGACATTCTTTGTTTTCTCGGCAATATCTGCATCCGTTGTTGCTTTCACATATATACTCCCTCCGTTCCCAAAAATACTTCCCACTTTCTTTTTTGGGCCGTTCCCAAAAATTCTTCTCACTTTCCCTTTTTGGACAATTTGTGTGGCTCACATTCATTTTACCTTTTTCTCATACAACCACAACCACACATTTCCACTTTATTCCACTTTCTTAATAGGCGTGCCAAGTCAAACCGGGAAGAATTTTTAGGAACGGAGGGATTACTTGTTCCAGAAACAAAAGGCAAATCTCTGGAGGAGATTCAGTTGATGTTTCAAAACGAACGAGAAGGTGAAACACAACTTGGGGATGTTGAGCATCTTGTGCAGAAAGAGTGAGTTTTGGTCATTTGGGGTTCTCATTCAATTACTTTTTTTGAAAGTTTACAGCCATCTTTTTTTTATATCTGATATACGAAGTATGTAGCAGAGAAATTTAACGATGTAATACTTGACATAGAAAAGGTTGATGGCTTGATGTGCTCACGATACTACGTAGTATTGAATATACTCTTTTTGACACGGACAATTATTCTTTTCTTGATTAGTAAAAGTAATGCGGAATAACATTTTTTTTAATACATTGCTTTAGCAACTAATTCAACTGCCAACTTTATTAATTCTTCATGGAAGACTTTTATGTGTATGGCTTTTATGCTTTACCTAAATTTTCAACCAGGCCTGTGAACCATGTCCAACAATCATACCAGATATTGAAATCTGGTGGGGGTAAAAACTGCTTTTATCAAGGAGTGTTATCATCATTATTGTATATCTATCACTTAGTTTATATACGGAGTAAAAAACTACTCTGTGCGCATCAGAATGGTGGAGGAGTAAGTCACGGTGACTCAATCGGAGCCTCCACACCCCGACCCGACAGAATGGTGGATGAGTAAGTCACGGTGACTCAGTCGGCCCAATGAGAGTAGACATTATACTCATGCGCATCAGAGGTCCAATCAACACACAGGAGTTGTAACCTCCACATGGCCTCTGCGGGTTTCGATCGTTGGTCATTTTTTTTTTAATATTTTTTTATACCCCAGGGGGCGTCGAGGGAGGGGGGTTTGGGAGGCCTGGAGCAAACTGGGATCAATCTCACTCCATTGAGAATTCAACTCGGGACCTCCCATAGGGGAGAGTGAGTCGGCGACCAGCTGGGCTGGACCGCTTCCTCGTTCGATCCTTGGTCATTGTTCCAAATTTTCCACCACTAGACCAACTGAGTTACTCGTGCGGGTAGTCATGGACTCGGGTCGGTTCGGGCACGGGACTGGCCTAGTCCCGGCCGGATTTTTTTGGGGGGGAAGGAAGAAGCGGCCCGGGTAGGCATCGGTTCCGGGTCAGGCCGTGCCGATTCAAGTTATTTTTTTAATTTACTTTTGCTTTTCTAATTAACCCCGACCCCCCCCCCCTTCACCCCCACCCCCCCTTCACCCCCACCCCCCAACCCCCACCCCCAACCCCCACCCCAAACACTGAGACCAACCCGGGAGACACCAAAAAATTGAAAAAGCAAAAAAAGAGAAATAGGCCGGGCCGGTTCCACTTTTAGGAGGCCCGAACCCGCCCCGTTTAACTCCCGGTTCCGGGTGGCCCGGACCGGTCCTATGACCGGGTACCGGGCCGGGCCCAAGCAGTACCGGTTCCGGGCCGGGCGGCCCGACCCGAGTCCATGACGACGTGCGGGTACTAGTTTTCCTATTCATTTTTTGACCAATGACCCTCTTTTTGGAAAAAAAAATAACCTCATGTACCAATCATGGTTAATTTTACAAAATGTTCCCCAGTTCTTAAAGAACTGTCTCCCGAGTCCCGAGTCCCGAGTTAAAATAAAAGTGTAGCTTTTATTCGTATTATAAATCAAGGCATTCCGCTTCCAGTTCCATTTCAACTGCAAACCAAAACTTAGAACCTAATCGGAACTAATTAGATCTTATTGGTTTATGAGTTTAATAAAATCAAGAGTTCCAAACCAGGTTTCTACATGAATTTTAAGTCTAATAAATAAATAAATAAATAAATAAATAAACAAATAAATAAATAAATAAATAAATAAATAAATAAATAAATAAATAAATAAATAAATAAATAAATAAATAAATAAATAAATAAATAAATAAATAAATAAATAAATAAAACTAGAAGCACTAATTGTTCTCTGGAGGAATCAGAGCTCGACTGAGTCTCAAAAGTTCTTGATTACCGGTGTACACTGTACAAGGCCATAGCAAATTAGCAGCGGCATGTTAGGTCTAAGTCCACCCCAAATTTCATTTTTTATATGATTAGGGTAACCCAAATTCATTAAAAAATTTCAAAAAAAAAGTACCAGCACAGCCCAAACTACACCGACGCGGTGCATGTTCCTGTTCAAGAATGTCAACGTGCTTGATTTTTTGTAAAACTGAAATGGCCGCAGTCCTATTCTTGTTCAGAAGTGTACAAGCAAGCTTTTATCAAATTTTAAGTATTACATGGACAATACATGAGAATGTCTTCTGAATCAAAAGTTATTCCAGATATAAGGGCAGAGTGATGAATTCTAGCCTAGGTACAAGTCTGAACAATATCTATCGACTTTAAGGTGTTCTTTGACTTTTCTTTGAGTTTTCAACCAAGTACCATGAACTCCCTGCCAAGCAAATGTCTTTTCTATTTCACTACGCATTGGCACGACTTGGTTCTCGGCCGGTTCCGGCATTCCGGTCCCAAAAATTTCAACCCGGAACCGGCAGTCCTGGTCCCAAAAATTGCAGCCCGGCACCGGTCCCCTTATACCCGCCTCCGGTTTCGGCCCAGAACCGAAAAATCAGTGCCTGGACCGGGACCTTATCCACTCCTATGCCTCACTAAAGGCATGTGCAGACTGCAGAGAGTAGTTGAGTAACACCATCCATAATATTGCCAACAAAGATTAAACCAAATGTTTACACAACACAGATTGCTAACATTTGCAATCAAGATTGTCATAATGTTTACACATAAAATATATTTAGCAGATGTAGATGTACATTAACCGATTTAGACGAATCCTACCCAACACGTTGATAGCTAGATAACCATTATCTCAAACACTTTCACTTTCACTCACTTAATTGCCCCTTCCTTAGTTCCTGTGGTCAAGACAACATTTTCCACTCATCTGCTTGCCTGCAAAATATGTTAAGTTTAGTTTAAATGAAGGCAAAGAGAGAATTGAACCAGCGGGTCAAGCTCAAGGACATGAAACAGCGGGCAAACTAGCAATTTAATCAAAACAATAATTATTTATTTAGCAACATGATTTACCTTTCCATTCATCCGGATATTCCAAGGATCACTAGTGGATCCATAGACAGGGTCACCAACAACACATGAAGGTTGAGGGACATAGTTTTTCAAAAGTGGAACACCATCTGGTATATAATCATCATCGCTGTCATAGAATCTCTCACGATTCGGTCCCAAAGCTTTGAGAATCATCGACAGTAACATGCTCAGTCCCTTTATGTGAAAAAATAGGAAACCAAACAGACAGTTGGCAATATAAGATGCAATATAAGATGCTAAAGATATTTATTGTAAAAAAACAGAAACCAAGTTGAAATGAGAGAGACGCCTGCTTGTATCATTCTCAAAGGAAAAGCTCTACAAAATATAGAGTATCATTGTTAACTTTATAGTATATATGTTTATTTATTGGGGGTAGGTGGTGACCTGCACTGCAGCCACTGACAAGCCAATCCATTTGCACATGTCAAAGTTTTCTTTAACAAACTTTTTTATCTCATCAAAGTTGCCGGTTGAATCCTCAGGAAAGTCCTGTTCCCACATCAAAGTAGAATACATGATATGTAAAATAATTATGAAGCTATTCATTGCAATACTGGATGAATTAAACTATTAAGTAATACGGAGTATATATTTTGTTGAAGAATACCTCTTCCCAGTTTTTGTTTAAGAAAACATCTACAGTGACAGCAGCTTCGAACGCAAAAAGTAGAAAGACAAACACCATGTACTACAAATATTAGTTAAGAATGACAAATGTCAAATTTGGCATTGAAGTCTCAAGGACAACAAAATTAAAAAAACATCACATGGGTCTTTCCAAAGTGAAAGAGAACATGATTAGGAGGATACGATATACAGACAGCAGCCATTCACAGTTTCTGCAGCAATATGACCTGAGCAGGAGATGAAACACACAGTGATGCCAAGACCAAGAATAGTATATATGAACCTGGCATTGAAGGTAAAAACAAGGTCTTTGTTAACTACTTCATTGGAATCAAACTTAGAAGTACAAATGCAAGTGATGCTTGTAATTGAGAATATTAAGATCATAGGAACTGCAAACACAAAACACGACAAGCATGGTATTTACTTTAAAATGCATACATATATTAGTAAGATCTGAGGAAGTATCATGGTAATTATAACATTCCAACATCAACATGCAAGAAATTGGTCACTTAACTACTTTACAAATGACTCATAAACGAAGATCACGCAAAAAGGCTGGCATGTCATTGAAACACACACCATCTGTGATCTGTGATCATATAATGTCAATTATAAATGTTTCATAGTAGTATTTAATGATCAATATGAGAAAACATCACAGGTGCGGGCAAAAGAGTCTCTGTTAGATGTCTATTGCAAAAAGGTAAATATCCCTCATTTCTTCATTCACCTTATGGTTTCAGTTTTCAGAACAACAACAACAACATCCAAGCCTTATTCACAAAATATTTTGGAGTCCGCTAACATGAATAGATCCATGATAACTGACTAACTGTGAAACACATACACACCAAGCATGAAATGAGACACTACAAAATCCAGGCAATATGGGCAAAGACATCTCATTTAACGAAAAAATTGCATTGCCCCAACAAAGAGTGGGAAACACATCATGAAAAAAGAAAAAAGAAAATATTTTTTGAGAATCTGAATTATGACTTGCAAAGAATAAACCCCAACTTCCCCAAAACAATTATAGAAAGAAATGATACATAGAGGTACGGACAGATACGCACCAAGGGATAGGGGAGCTATTGGGCCCGAAATACGGGAGAGGAGAAGGGCCGGACATGTGCTTTTGCCAAACTCTGAACATCCAAATGGCGTACATGATCATGGCGATCCCAACAACCCCTAACAGAAAGTTGACGAGCTTCAGCATCGACTGGATGCAGCTCCGAGCGAATTTCATGGTCATTGCTGCACTTTGTGGCCGGATGAATGATGAAAGCCGATCCCCTAACCCTATATCAAACCTTAATCAATTAAACGTCAGGGATATAGGATTAGGGTTTCAAGATATGGAAATATTCTCCGACGTTTCTGTGGGAGTGTTTAACTTCTATGGATTTTCTTTTTGTCGTTCGTCTCCTGGATTGTAGGCCAAGAGCTATAGTGCCAGCAAGTCTGACAGGATACTCCGTCCGGCCGACCGAGCCCGTTTGGGAATCGGGAAGGTGGAATTTTTTTGATGAAATTTTTTGAGCATGTTCCTCATCAAGTCTAGTTTATTCATACCAAATTTCAGCTCAAAATTCGATCGGGAAGGCATTCAAATCATTTTTTGAAGTTGACTGCAGTTTTATATGTATATTTTGAAGCAGTCAACTTCAAAAAATGATTTGAATGCCTTCCTGGTCGAATTTTGAGCTGAAATTTGGTATGGACAAACTAGACTTGATGAGGAACATGCTCAAAAAATTTCATCAAAAAATTCCACCGGTAAGATTCTCAAACGGGCTCGGCCGGACAGAGCATCCCGTCAGGCCGGTGAAGACCACTCATAGGAGTTCAGTTATTCAGTTTACTTTTTTGTTTTTATATTTTAGATTAATAAAGCAAGATCAAATAGCGTTACCAATTGTTGGTGTGGTGTAGTGGTTATCAGTTATCACGTTAGTCTTATAATCTTCGGGTCCCCAGTTCGATCCTGAGTAGCATCAGGACAGATAATGTTGTTGCTAGGGTTATAAACGAATCAAATAATTTGTGCCCGATTCGCGATTCGAATTCGTATAAGACGATTCGAATTCGGAAAATTCAAATACAAATACAAATATGAATATTAAATTTGATTTGATTTGTTATCAAATACAAATAAGAATATCAGTATATTCGATTCGAATATTAATCAAATATATTCGATTAATAATATTGATAATATTAATAATTATAATAACTTTTAAAAGATAGTAATATCTTAAAGTGTAGTTCATATGTACATTTACGCATACAGATTCTAAGTTCATTTGTAATAAATCAGAGTATAAATATGAATACAAATCGGATTTTTGGTTCAAATGTCTTTCAAATACTATACAAATAATTATGTATTCGATTCGCAGAATAAAATTAGAGTCGTCTGACTTTGATATATACAATTATCAACTTATTTCACACATTGTAAGTGTAATTTCTAATATGTGTGTGTTAGTGTTTTTCAAAGAGTTTGAAATAGATTTATATTTATTAATCATAAAATTGATTCACTTTAGTATATCGTGCACAATCTAAAAATGCATTGATCCATTGAATTTAAATTCTAAAAACACATATTAAATCATAGCATACTTTACAACATAAAAAAATATAAGAAAATTTAATTTTAAGTGATATTTCACTAATATTTAACCTATGCTCAAATCTATTCGATATTCGTATAAGATTCGTTAACTATTCGTATTGTTAAACAAATACAAATACAAATCGGAATTAATATTCGTTTCATATTTGAATTCGAATTCGTATTCGAAAAAATTAAACAAATACAAATACAAAATCCTACTATTCGACTCGATTCGGTTCGTATACAACCCTAGTTGCTGCTATGTTCTTGTAAATTTTGTACCTATAAAATTCTTTGCCTTTTATTTTTATATTAATGTTGTTATTTTTCTTGTATTCAATATTTTTCTGTTTTGCAAATCTCGTACCTATAATTTTTTTTCTTCAAAGAAGTGTGGCTTCTTTTTATGGGCTGAATTAAGTGTATTACTTCTATTTTCATGTATTAATTCATTTCATTTTCATGGGCTGAGTTAATTTATTACTTCTATTTTCATGTATTAATTCATTTCATTTTCATGGGCTAAATCAAGTTTATTGTTTCTGCTTTCATTGCCTTTATTTTTATATTAATGTTTGCTATTTTGTTTGTATTCAATATTTTCTGTTTTGCAAATTTAGTACAAGTACTATGTAAAATTCTTTGTTTCAAACAAGTGTGGGCCTTTTCGGTTCAATTCTTTTCATGGGCTGAATCTAGTTTATTATTTCTATTTTAATGTATTAATTAATTTCATTTTCATGGGTTGAATCAAGTTTATAATGTCTACTTTAATCTATTGATTCATTTCATTTTTATGTGTTGAGTTTTTTTATACGAGATTTTTAGTTAGACTCAAATATACTCTCTACAGAAACAAAACTATAATTACCAAATACAAATTCACGAATCACGATAGCTTAAATGTCTCAAGGTCAACTCCGGAAATGAAACTTTTCTTTCCTTCGTTCTTTGTTCTTTTTTTTTTTGTGCTTTTGGTTCACCCGATTTTTTTATTCCACATTAGAGTGCCTTGTTTTTTATGTAAAAAAATTCATTTGCTGAGTGAGGCATTGTTCCCATCACCACGAGTTAATAGGGTTCTTAGTATCCATATTTGTTCTATACACACATATTTATTTATGCGTTTACTTCATTTTTTTAATTACATATATTTATGTGTTTACTTCATTTTTTGATTGATATGCTCTATTATAAACATAAATTATCTTATTGATATCTATTTCTCATATAGTATGTGTCTATGTGATACTACGTAATGTGTAATGGAGTTTGACACTCCTGATTAATATTCCGAAAGCGGATAATGGGAATGAGGAAGTGTCTTGCTTTAGGGTTGTAGTGAAGTCAAGGAAGTATGTATTGGTGAAGTAATATGTTAGAGTTCTCTTTTTAAGTCGTTTTTTATCATCAAACAGGCGGCTTTATATTAAAATCGAGAACGCATACAAGACAATTTTCAGATTTTACAGTGTTGGAAAAATGTGTGAAAAATTGCATTAAATGGTAATTTTGGGGCAATTTTTTGAGTGGGGTCCACTTCCGATTTGGGTCGGGTCAAAGTGGTTTCGGATTGTCCTTGTTAAGGGCTACAATTCGATATATGGTACGCTCAAAACGGATAACGGGTGAATGAGAAATTGATTCTCGAAGTTTACCCGTTAGAATGGGAAAGCTGGGAAAAAGGATAGGTTTCTAGTGTGCTAATTTCCCACACCGGAAAACCCAAGGGATTTGCAACCCTTTATAAAGGGACTCCCCCCTTAAGGAGTTAAGATTCGTTAGGGTAAAGGTTCTCTCCACGCGCGCAGGGGGGGTTCAAATCAAATCCTGAAATCGGAGAAGAAAAACTGCGACTTGCGTGCGCGGGCGACCTGCGGACACGAATGTCGTCCAAAAATCGTATCTCTCAAGAAATACGATTAATTTTTGTTTTCTTCCTGAAACGTTTAATTTTTTCCCAGCGGCAGAAGCCTACGGAACAGAACACCTCGTTGGTATTCTGTTGGCCTCCGAACAGAACCCCTCCCAGAGTGTTCTGGTGGAGGTCTTCTGTCGCGCATCTGAACTGTTACACCAATAAATGCCCAACGTTCTTATCTTTTAATGCAGCGTTAAATGGACAGTTCATGGACGATTCAATGCCCAACGGACTGGTCATTGATGTCCAACATCCAGGTCCATTAATTCACCATTTACACACAACAAATCCTCCTATACAATGGCTGGCAGGTGGTTTGCAACAACACACGAATTCATACACTCCAAGCACGTTTTGCACCTCTAAAACACACTGTTAGCAATCTGAAAATTCCCCAAGTGTTCATACTGTGTTCTCGTTCGCTGGAACTCTTGTTTGTGTGCTCAAACACTAGTTCGTAGTCATCGTATCCTGGGAAACGATTGTTGCAACGCTCCTAGCACCGTGGGAGGCAACAAATACGTTTTAAGGACATCGTGCGTAGCACGAGCTTTGACTAATTCTGCTTCATCTCCTTTCTTGTTTTTCTCTAGTCATTTTATTTAATTAATTTATTTTAATTAATTTTTTTTATTTTCCGAAACACACCCAACATACAGATCCAATCGTGAACCCTAGGAGTAGACATAGAATCAGTCACCTCATACTTAATCCTAAAACGAACAGATCTGAAACTATGTCTATCAAAAGAACTCCAAAAATCCAAACATTCAAACCAAATCTACTCGGACTAAAACTAAAACTAATACTACTAAAGAGAAAATAATATTGAAATAAAATCTTTCCACAAAACTCTTTCTGGTATGGAGGTGGTTCTGGAGGAGGACGAGCAATTGATTGAGTTTGTAAGAATCCATAAATAATAGCTCATAGATTTCTCGCCGTCAGACGCTGGAGTGAAGGCCTGCGTTTTTTACTTTTCTGGTTCGAAGGTTTTTGTTGGTCCCGAGGTATCTTCTCGGAGGTTTTTTTCTCCCTCTTTTGTGGGGAAGTTTTGTCCTTGCCGGTGTTACAGCCTGGTCGGGTGTTTTTTTGTTGCTTAAACATGGGTTGCGTGAGCTGCAATTGTCGGGGGCTAGGAAATTTGGCCACAGTACAAGTCTTGGCGGATATTGTCGCGACTCACCGTCCATCTATTGTTTTTCTCATGGAGACGCTGACTGATTCGCCGAAAATGGAGAGCATTCATAGAAATTTGGGTCTTCATCATGTTTTTGCGGTGGATTGTGTGGGGCGGAGTGGGGGTCTGGCGCTGCTCTGGAAGGACGATCACGCTATTACTATTGAAAGCTCTTCGTGGAATCATATTGATGTGCAGGTTGCAGGTAGGTCACTTCAAACAACATGGTGACTTACCGGTTTTTATGGCTGCCTGAAGAGTGACCGTCGTAGGGAATCTTGGGAGCTCCTAAAAGGATTAGCACATTACAGTAACCTCCTGCGGTTGGTTGTGGGGGACTTTAACGACATTATGCATGCACATGAAAAGCAAGGCGGGTGCTCTAAACCTCCGTGGATATGATGGCGGGATTCCGCGATGCGGTTTGGGGTAGTGGACTAATTAACTTTCCTTTTGATGCCTTGATGGATATCAATTTACTTGGGAGAGAGGAAGAGACACACTCATAAGGATTGAGGAGAAGATTGACCGTATTTTGGTCTCGGAAGGATGGATCACTATGTTCGCTGATGCTTGGGCCACGTCGGTAGTGAGTAGCAATTGCGACCACTTGCCGATATATGTAAAGTTCTCGAAGCGAGAGGTAAACAGGAGGAGGAGAAGTTTCAAATTTGAAAATCTCTGGTTAAGAGAGAAAGAGTGCCGAAGCATTGTTGAGAGGGCTTGGGGTTGTTGTGAGGTTCAACCGCTACATGACAGACTCTGCTTTTGTGGAGAGGAGCTCAACAAATGGGGGAGAAGTTTACACCGGGATTTTCAGCAACGCATCGAGGGCTGTAAAAGAAAGATGGAGGAATTGCGGGGTAGGTCGGATGTTGCTAGTTTGGCAATGTTTCTAAAAACAAAGGAGCATTATTTACTGTTACTTGAGAAGCAGAATGATTTTTAGAGACAGACGGTGAAAGAGTACTGGATTCAACAAGGAGACATTAACACAAAATTCTTTCATAATTCTGTTAAGCAGCGAAGGAGAAGAAACACGATGAGGGGGTTACGGTCTGCTTCGGGTGAATGGATTTCTGAGCAAGGGGCCTGGCGGAATTTAGTGACCGATTATTTTGAAAAAATATTTACACAAGGCGAGGTTATTCCTTTGCAGGATGTGGGAGGTTTTCGCACCACAATAACAGACGAGCAAAACTCTCTTTTATTGAGGGAAGTGACTGCGAAGGAAGTCAAGGAGGCGGCTTTTAGTATGCATCCTGATAAAGCGCCAGGGCCAGATGGGTTGAATCCAACTTTTTTCAATCCTTTTGGGATGTGGTGGGGCCGTCGGTAGTTGAATTTTGTATTATCATTTTTCGGTCTGGGTAGTGGCCAGAGGGGTGCAACGATACTACTATTGTGCTTATCCCGAAAAAGGATAAACCTCAAACTATTGGGGACTGGCGACCGATAGCTTTGTGTAATGTGGCCCATAAGATTTTTGCTAAATTGCTTGCTAATTGTATGAAGAGACTGCTTGATCCGATTATTGCTGAGAATCAAAGTGCTTTTGTCCCAAGGAGGTCGATTGTTGACAATATTATTTTAGCATTTGAGGTGCAGCATTTTTTAAAACGGAAAACGCAAGGCAAAGACGGATATGTAGCACTAAAACTTGATATGAGCAAAGCATATGATAGGGTGGAATGGAATTTTCTGGAAAATATTCTGTACCAGCTGGGTTTTGATGTAAGATGGATCAATTTGATTATGCAGTGTGTGACCACAGTTCGGTATAATGCCCTATTATCCCTACATGGGGAATTAGACAGGGGGAGTCCTCTGTCCCCCCTATCTATTTATCTTGATTGCCGAAGGGTTGAGTTCTCTTATTCGCAGGGGAGAAGCTGATCGACAGATGCAGGGTATTCGTATAGCCAAGGGAGCGCCGGCCTTAACTCATTTACTCTTTGCAGATGACAATTTTCTTTTTTTCAGGGCAAATGAGGTTGATTGCTTATTTATTAAAGATATGATGGCCCAATACTCTAGAGCGTCAGGTCAGGTGGTTAATTATGATAAATACAGTGTCAGGTTAAGCGCCAATTTTGCATGGGATGACAAGGATTATTTGAGTAGTATTTTAGGGGTGCCAGAGGATAGAGGAGGAGGCAAGTATCTTGGGCTCCCGTCTATGGTGGGGCGTAATAAAAAGGAGATCTTTGGTTATATAAAAGAGAAGGTCATTCAGAGGATTTAGAGTTGGAACAATAAATTTTTACCCAGAGCATGAAGGGAAGTTCTTCTTAAAACGGTTATTCAGGCCATGCCACAATATGCGATGAACATATTCTTATTGCCGAATGAGCTATGTGAGGAGGTGGAACGCGCTATGAATGCTTTTTGGTGGATAGGTCATGCTTTTAAAGGAAAAGGTATACGGTGGTGAAAGTGGTCTGATTTGTGTACACCAAAGGGCTCCAGGGGGATGGGGTTTCGTAGACTGCGGGACTTGAACATCTCTATGTTGGGGAAACAAGTTTGGTGCCTTCTTAAACAGCCGAATTCTCTTGTTAGTAGAATTTTACGAGCAAGATATTTTCCTAGAGGAGAGGTACTAGAGGTGTGCATAGGGAGTAATCCCTCGCTCATATGGCGTAGTTTAGCCGCAGACATACATGCGGTTCGGGAGGGACTGGTTTACCGAGTGGGTGATGGCTCTCGCATTCGGGTTTGGAAAGATAAATGGATCCCTCTTGCTAACGGGGGACTTACGGCGAATGATATGATTCCCGAGCTTGAAGACATCACCGTGGATTCTTTAATGAAAGAGGATGGGAGTACTTGGGACTGGGATGTTTTACAGGACATCTTAAATGGGGAAGATTACGAAGCTATCTCGGGCATTCCTTTAAAAGGTTTCCGAGGGACGGACGAGATGATTTGGGGGGCTGAGAAGAATGGAAAATATTCGGCCCGTAGTTGCCACAGCAAGCTCACAGCACTACACGTGGAAACCAGACCAGATTGGACTCGTGTTTGGAAATTGAATTTACCTCCTAAAATGAAATCTTTTTTTGGCAGGTTTGCACGGATTGTTTGCTGTCTAAGGAGCGGCTGCTCAAACGACGTGTCCCGGTGTGGCCGGTTTGCAATACGTGCGGTCAAGATAGGGAGAGCACATTGCATGTGTTTCGGGACTGTGTTCTAGCTAAGGATGTGTGGCGGAGTCGAAATAAAATTTTTACTCAAGCCGGGGCTGCAACTTTTGTGGAGTGGGCTGATTGGGTTAGCCGTAAATGCTCCAAGGAAATCAAGAAACGACAAAACGTGGAAGAACATCAATTCCAATTGGAGGGGAGTGGTGGCTCGAGGTGAAGCCATGCTTTCTGGGTGGCGGGAGGCTCGACTCCAGGAGTGCAACGGGAAGAAGGAGGACTCCGGAGGGGTAGCGAGCCGGAAAGACTGGAGGAGTTCAGGTAAATGGCTACCTCCGTTGGCGGGTGTTATAAAGATAAACGTGAATGCGGCAGTCCACATGCGAGAGGAATGGAGGGGACTTGGACTAGTAGTCAGGGATGACAAAGGCTTGTTTATAGCAAGCAGAAGAATTCGAGAACGAGGAAGGTTTTCGGCCAGTACAACGGAGGCTTTAGCGATTCGTGAGGCGGTGAGTAGGGCACGTCAATCAGGCTGGTCAAATTTGATTGTTGAATCTGATGCACTCTCGATGGTCCAGGGGATTGCATCTTCTAATGGTATTTCTTACGAGGATAGTATTTTTTGCTGAGATTAAACATATGATAGCTACTTTTGCTAAGTTAAATGTCCACTATGTGAAGCGATCAGCGAATTGGGTTGCTCATGCCTTGGTACAGCAGGCCGGTTCGGAGTCTGATTGTCTGTGGGTGGGAACTCCACCGGATTGTATTGTGAACATGTTGCGTTTTGATTGCTAATGATAATGTTATTTGGTTTCAAAAAAAAAAGAATCCATAAATAATTTGTGTGTCAAAGAAAACATTAAACTCGACTAAAAATAAAAAATCCATAAATATAATCTTGTACAATGGAAAATCCAAAACATTAACAAATAATAAACGTGTATGCGTAATGTTTTTTGGAAAAGAGAAGGGCATTGGGTTTTTCAAAATCTTTGTGTAAACCCTGAGAATTCCCAGTTTTCCAAGACTGAAAAATGCTCTACTGCATTCATATTCACTGCAAACCCTGTGTCAAAATAATACACAAGACTGAAAAATGCTCAAATGCTCTCCGCATTCATTCACTACAATTTCCAGTTTTCCACGATGGCATCAATGACATTCATCCCATTTTGTTTCAATAATAAATTACTATAGCTCTGCATTAAGAAACTACCATTTCAGATCAATTTGACACAGAAGATTTGATGGCATCTGCAGCAAATCCACTGCTGAGCAGCCTCTGTACATACTTCCCCAGTATATCCACCTCCAAATTCACCTTCTGCCCGATTTTCTTTGATGGGATCACTACATTCTGCTGCGTATAAGCAACCAACATGAAGCTGAAGCACTGATCATCATCAAACACATCCACCACCGTCAAGCTAGTCCCGTCCACCGCTATGAACCCTTTGGGAACTACAAACTTCAAAATCTCCTTCGTCGTCTTCACCTTCACCCATAACGAGTCTCCTTCTCTGTCGAGTCCGACGATTACCCCGGTCCCGTCGACGTGTCCCTGCACGAAGTGGCCTCCCATGCGACTACTCGGCGTCAAAGCCCTCTCCAGATTGACCCGAGATCCGCGCTCCAGTTCACCCAGTGAGGTCTTCCGCAGTGTTTCCGGTGCCAATCCGACCGAGAATTCGGACGATCCGGCGTCGAATTCCGTGACGGTCAAACAAGTCCCGTTGACGGCGATGCTGTCGCCGAGGTGAACGCCTTCGAGGACGGTCTTTGCCCCGATTTTCATGGCGAAACTGTCGGGATCTGAGTGGCCTATGTGCCGGACTTCTCCGATCTCTTCGACTATGCCGGTGAAGAGGGATGTGATTGTGGTGGTTCTGGCGCGGGGTTTGGTGGATCGGAGGGAAAGGGTGAAGGGGGGTTTGAGAGGGAGGAAGGAAGTGTTGTTGTTGAGGGTAAGCGATGGACGCCATTGGTGGGATCCGATTATTGTTACTGGAGATTGTGGAGCTTTGATTAGAGTATAGGGTTTGGAGGTAGGGGTCAACGCGGCGGTAAAGGAAGCTGCTGCCATTTTCTGAGCGCTTTACACTCCGTTTGCTGGGGGGGGGGGGGGGGGGGGGTCTCCGCTACGGTAATAAGAAAACGACGGAGCCTCTTTTAATGAGAAATGCGGGTGTACCCAACACACCAATTTTGGAGTATCAAATAGTTTGGGCACAAATATTTTTTTCTTTTTTATAAGGAGAGTTGTTTTTAGCATCTACAATTTCTTTCGTGATACATAATTTTTTTCTGCTGAGAAAAACAGTTTTCATCATAAAACAAAAAAATGTCTATGCACATATAATTTGATCAACGTGTAAAATGACATGTACACGAAGTATGTTTGTGTTTTAATTGGTGAGGTTTTTCTATAAAAAGTTATTACCAATTTATACACACAAAAAAATATTAGTATGCACTTCCTCTGTCCCTTATAATTATTTTCACTTATCTTTTCGAAATGTCTCAAAAAAATATTCTCATTTCTCTTTTTGGAAAGTTTTATGTGGCTAATACTCATTTATTTATTTTTTACTTAATCTCATTTATACATTTTCACTTTATTCTCACTTTCTTAAACTTTGATTCAAGTCCAACTCAGAAAATTTTTATGAGACATAGGGAGTATTAGTTAGATACGGAGTACTTTTTTTAAATATATATATGAAGTACTACGTACTAGTTAGATATTACGGAATACATGGATATTCATGTGAAAGTTGATGTAACAACTCCAGCCACAAAACTAACATTGGACACATTTATTTTATTTCTTGCACAATTCAACTAGACACAATAACAATCGTTTTACCCACCAAGTGACTACCGCCTCGATCGCCTGTTTAGTGACTATCACCCCACATGCTCTAGTGACTGCCCCCTATTCAGTCCAACCGCCTCGCCTCGCCCCTTCAAGTGACCACTACCCCACCATGTACAACGACAACCGTCACAATTCCGAATCTGCCCCCTTTCAGCCTCCCCCACCTTCTCCCCAACACCCTTCCCGACCCCTACCAACCCCAATCGGTGGGGCTGAGCACGGTTCGGGTTCGGGCGGGTCGGGTCTGCGTACCCTAAACCCGTTCGGGCTTTTTAAGTTAAATACTAGGCCCGACCCTTTGATATTTCAAATCGGGTTTTTTCGGATATTTGTAAGTCGGATATTATCGGATATCGGATCGGGTTTCGGATATTTCGGTTATATTAAAAAAAAATTATAATTGGATAATTAAAGTGTTTGAATGCCACTTTGACAAAAATTCTACAAACTAGTGCACTAAACATTCAAATTACGCAAATAATTTAATACAAATTGCATAAATAATTACACAAATAATTGAACACAAGTATTAATTTAAGATATTCAAAGTACACACTACATGATTTAATATATTTCGAATATTTCGGTTATATTAAAACACATTATAATTGGATAATTAAACTGTTGGAATGTCATTTTGACAAAAATTGTACACACCAGTGCACTACACATTCAAATTACAAAAATAATTTAACACAAATTGCTCAAATAATTACACAAATAATTGAACACAAGTATTAATTTAACATATTCAAAGTCACACTAAATTGATTAATATATTTCGGATATTCGGTCGGGTCGGGTGGGGATTTTACAAACCCTACCCGCCACCCGATCTAGGCCTAATACTAATCGGATTTTCGGTTTCGGGTTTTTCGGGTCGGATATCCATTTCGGTTCGGATATTATCCGAAAAAACATCGGGTTTTGCGGGTCGGTTCGGGTTTTGCTCAGCCCTACCAGTCGGGTCCCCTCTTCTATTTGTTGTAACTCTCCACCACTGACGACCATGTCGTTTGCCCCCAACATTGGCACTTTTTGCTACTGCACAAGCTCCAACTATGTCATCGATGCCCCTCCTTCTTCATCACCCCTCCCCCTGTCACTCTTCCCCTACACCCGCCCCTCTTTGCTTTCCAGACAAAACCTAGCTTTTCCGCCGCCGCCATCTCGATCCAAAACTCTAGCAACCGACACTCATCGACAGCAATCATCACCTGGTTTCTCCACTATGCTACGAAGGCTGCATCAATGATGGCGAAAAGATAAAAGATAGAAAATTAGTGTGGGTACATAGGTGAAGGGAAACAACTGTGGTGGTCGGCGTCATAGATGAGGGCGACGACGATGATCGTGACGACTGCAACGACGGCGACATACATGAGAAAGACTGGCTTTTGTAGTAAAATGCGAGAGATGATGTTAAGATCACGAGTATGTTCGTTAACGACTGCAATGGCTGAAACTATTGAAGCAGTTAGAAAGGTTGAACCTGTTTGAGTAAAAATGTTTGGTACTATGTTGGTTAAAATGGCTGAATGAACTGCAAAATTACCATAAAGAATATTAATATCTTGATAGATTGCATACGCCTAGAGGAGCAGCTATGGCATGGGGAAACCCTAGCCACCGCCTTTTCCCTTTTTTCTTCTCTTCTTTCAATCTTCTTTGATTCCAATAATGGAAAATTATCTTATTAATCAGTGTTTTCAGTTCTATTCATCTGTTTCTTTCCCAACGTTGTTTGGAGATATTATTTTCGGTAACAAAGTATCGTCTGCCAGTTGCATCTTCCCCGTCACTTTCGGTCGGGTGTTCTTGTGTGTTAAGAAGAGATTTGCACTGATCTCTTCATCAATCAGAAATATGATTTTCTTCTGCACCGATATTGAGACGGTTCGCCCCCCTCCTGAACCACCGCCGTAGCAAGAAGATGAGATCATTTGGATTGCTTTCTTTCTGGTGGCTGGTGAAATCGGAACAAATTCTCAGTTGGCTCCTTACCGTTGGCTGGACAAACCGGGATGTTTAAGAGTTCGTTTCATAATTATTGTGATCGTAGCAAGAAACAATCAATCTGCAGGTAGAGTCTACTTCTTTGCGGGATTAGCGATTCGGCGTTTTCGATTTGAATCGTCCGTTTCTATGTCTCATCCCATTGTAGCCTTGAGCTTTATGATTGTAATGTTTCTTGCCATCTTTATCAATAATAATTATGTTATTTTTTTCAAAAACAATATTAATATCTTGATGTTTTCAATACATTTGAGTGATTTGACTACAGCACACCCCTTACCCCCTTACCCCTATGTGGCCACAAAATACTCTGTATAGATGTATAAACAATTCAACCATTGATTTACTTCAAAGTTTTAACCAAGGAATGACTAAGGTGCTTTACCGCTCATGCTTAATTAAATACACACTAGATTTTTTGTCACTTTTAGTCCTTTGACTATTGTGTCAATAACACTTGTGGTACTCGACTTTAATTTGTTCTATTGTTAGTCCTTTGATTAATTTGTGAGGGACATTTTTAGTCCCCAAGTTCAAAACCTTCCACATTTAGTCCTCTGAGTATTGTTAAATGGATACTTTTACTCCTTCTACTATTACTTTGGTACAATAATTGAAGGACTAAAAATGTTTAAGTAATAATAGTTGAAAAATCAAATGTGACACTTTTAAACAAGTCGTAGGACTAAAGTGAAAAAGTTTAAAGTCGAGTATTATTTCTTTTAGCATCATAATCAAGTATTATTTCTTTTAAAATGTAATTTTATGGTGTTAATTGCACAATTTAATATATTTTAGAATTAATGAAGACACAATTAACATTCTAAATTTCCATTTCGAAATAAATAATGTTACCCCAAATCTATATAATTGCTACATTTTTTTATTTTCTATTTTAAATTATGAAATTAACTCCATAAATTGATATTTCTGTAAAAAATAATAATGATAATGATGTGAAAATTACTTTTTATATAAAATTTGAGATATTTAAATTAATATGTGGAGTATTTTTCATTTCCCTTTTTTAAAAACAGGTTTTGATCAATCCTTCGTTAGTCAAACAATCACCGACCACCGTGAAAAAAGGTTACTCTGAACAGATGCCGTACGAGAGTGCACAATGAGGCACTCGTCAACGCTTTGTAGCTGAAGATAACTTCACATCCCTGTCCTCCGCGTTTGATACCTGGCTTTCTATCTCTTCTGATTTCTATCTCCACAACAACTCCCGGACTCAATCTTAAGTCGCAAGTTTCGATTCGTAATGGCATCTGGGTCGTCAGGTCTGGCCAGCAATTCTGGCTCCAAGGGTTTTGATTTCGCTTCCGATGATATCCTTTGCGCCTACGAAGACTACACCATTCCGGAGAACTCTACCAGGGGCCAATCTGATCTTGCAATCGGTTCCAACTCCGGGAAGGTGATCTTTTTCCTACGAGCTGTCCAGTTTTTGAGTCATGGTAGTTATTTTCTAGGTTTTGTTCCTTTTTAGGCCAGGGCAGTTGGAAACTTGGCTGAAGTTTCAGATTTTTCTGCTAGATTTCGCTTAAACTCGTTGCACGCACTTGGAGTTGTAAATTGATACTTTAATTTTCTCCTCGCAGTCAATGAGATTAAGGGATAAAAGCAAAACTCAATTCTTTTAGCTTATCCTTTAGGTAACATTGAAATAAAACGATTAAAACAAATATCCAGAATTAGTGTATGGAATCTGAAGTACGGATTAATATTTAATTTTCCTCAACAATTTTGTCCCTTTTAAATTTCATTCTAATTTCTCTTCGTACCATTTTAGTGTTTCATAATTCATATGGACCCTTAAATCCGAATAATAAAACCAATTATGAGTCATGTGTCCATAAAATTTTCTAACATGCTAGGACGCCAATATATTTATTCTTTAAAAGAAGATAGAGAAAAAGTTGAAGAAAAGATATAGCATAATATCTTTTATATTTATATCTTCGGAAAAGATTAAGTGGCATGAAGCGTTATCAACAAAATTTTGGGATATACATATACCAAGTAAAAGTATAGCTTGTGGACGTTTTTGCACTATGAAGGGAGCTACACTGCACCCTGTTTTGTAAACATATAACAGAAACATAATACTATAGAATGAAGAGAGGAGGAGAAGGTAGGCCAGCTCATTAAAACCCAGTGAATTGATACTGTATTATATATGCAGTCTTTTTCGTATTTTCCAAGAATCTAAAATGACAACAGAAGAAAGACTTAATAAAAAGGCTTAGAATGAATAATTTAATTGTCCACTTAGAGCCCAGGCTAAGAATTAATATCTCCTCCACCAGTTTTTAGTATGCTCACTGCCTCCTTTTCTAGCTTGTTTGAATTAGGATCCTGGTGACCATGATTCCTTTAGAGCTTGTTGATATTATGACCGTGTTTTCCAAAGTACTCGTAGAATAAACCATTATACTCCGTAGTTCTTAGTTCTTACTACTTTCTTTGAAAGTGCAGAAGACATTTTCTGATAACAGTTTTCTCAGTTAATTATTCATATAAGTTATCCGAATAAGTTGTTTATGTACATATTTACCTGAAAAACAGTGCCTACAATCTGCAATGTACTGACTATAACTTTAATTTTACTAGAAACTATCATAGTTTGGTTACCCCATTTGTTAGTGTATTAATTATGTTTTCCATTATTTTTTTAGAAAACACTCCCATCACTCCTATTTAAAATTTTTGTTTTGACCATTAATTATGCCAAAGTTATACATAGTATTAGATTATAACATGAAAGTATACTTGATAATATGTTTAGTATATAATGTTATAATCCCGCATTAGAAATCTAAAGAGTGAATGATGTCTTAATAACTTTGGGTTAAACTAACTGCCAGACTGAATTCAATTTGGTTTGTTCCAATTGCCTTGGTCCGTTGTGTGACCCTTATCCAATTCTAAATTTTATCATAGATTTTGAGATAGTAATTCGTGATAAAGTGTAAATATATACGAAGTATTTGTAAATAGTTATAGTCAAAGTTGGACATTGAAGATATTACAATTTAAAACAAAAATTATAAATCAGCGTGGAGGGAGTTAGTAAATACAGAATTTTGTGTGTTTTTTGTTCATGTAGTCAATACTCTGTTGCTTTAGTATGGGGGGATACTGCGGACATCCAACCCCCTTATCCCATCGTAGGTGGGAGCCCTTTGCGGCACTGGGGTAATGATGATGATGATGATGGAGTCAATACTCTGTTTCCAACATATTGAAGATGTACCATACATATTGAATATATACAATACAGACTGAGTAAAGGATATTGTATATGTAACTACTATTCTGCTTTTGCACTTGACATTTCAACTGCACCATTTAGGTATTTGAGGGGTTAACTAGTAACTACTGAGAAAATTTAAGTTGCCAAGATATTTTAAATCTCTATTTGGCATGACTTTTGAGCAGGAGCTCCATAAAAACAGAATGACAAGATCATCAATGTTGCCTACTCTGGCTTACCACCCGCCTGAAGGTTCTTCATTCAATCAAGATGTTATTGGTGCTGTTGACAAGAGTATGAAGAAGCACACAGACAATCTCATGCGCTTCCTTGAGGGAATTAGTTCACGTCTATCTGATCTGGAGTTATATTGTTACAATCTTGATAAATCCATTGGGGAAATTCATTCTGGTTTGGTTCATGATCATGAAGACTCAAACAACAAACTCAAATCTCTTGAGAAGCATCTCCAGGAGGCAAGTTTGTGTTTACCCCTATGCATGCCATTATTTATTAGTGCTATTATTTTTTAATATATGAGGAGATAGAACAATCTCTCTGTGCTTCTTTGTTATGAAACAACAGTCAGTCCATGCAATTTTGGACACGATTTTCATCCGGAAACAGTCTCTCTGTGCTTTAGTACGTAAGACTGCGTACATCCGACCCCCCCTTACCCCAAGTCCCCAACGTAGGTGGGAGCCTTTGCGACACTGGGGTAAATGAAAATGAAATGAAATGAGGAGATAGAACAATCTAACTGCTAGTTGTTGCTTTAGTCAGAGGCACTGCTATTGATATGTTTTTTTTTTGTGCTTTAAGTTTTAGAAACTTTCATGCTTACTTCACAATAAGGGTCCTAGAGATAATTGATGCTCAACAAGGCAGTGGGGGCGGGGAGTTCCAAAGTGTTGCCCTGTGCCTCTCTAGGAATAGATTAGTTGGATGAAGTACATTGTCGTTTGAGGTAGGGGTGTTGTCGAGCTGAGCCTAATCCAAATAGTCAAAGCTCAAAGCTAGGCTCGAAAAAGTAGAGTTTGGACCGTGTTTGATCCAACTCTTGCTTGCGAACTTGAGCTCGTCTTGACCCAAATCTCAAATTATTTGAGGTCAACTCGAATAAGCTAGATTATTTATTTATTTTGCTGAAGTTGTATCCAATATTGATAGAGTTGCTTAATTCTGAAAGAGGGGTTTAAAAATACGGAGTATGTTTATTTATATAAACTTTTAAACAAGAAAAAGAGTATGTGAAAAAAGGCTAAGATGATTCTTTTGTGTAACTTCAGTAAAAAAATAGCACTTTCAGAGTTTTGGTCATTTTTTTCATTAACCAATTATGGCACAATGTCAAATGTGTTGGTGTTTGGTAAAAATTCTAGCCGATAGCCCAAAAAGTTTAACAGGGATTGGCTGGTGTTTTTTGTCCTCATTGCAGGTCCACAGGTCCATCCAGATCCTGAGAGATAAGCAAGAACTTGCTGAAGCTCAGGAGGAGCTAGCCAAGCTTCAGCTTGCACGTAAAGGACCAGCTTCAGCTAGCAACAACATTTCTCAGCAAGATGGAGAGAGAACGCCTCATCGTCCCTCTTCTTCTGATACCACCAATATGCACAGTCATAATAACCCCCCGGAACTCCAGGGGCAGCAATTTTCACTGTCATCTCCACACCCAAACCAAACAGTAGTAACACAGACTGTCCCGTCTCTTCCATCCCAAGTTAGCATTGCACAGCCACAGGGTTACTATCTGCCACCACCAGCTCCTCCTAGTCAATTCCTCCCTCAAGGTGGTCAACAGACTCAACACATGCCCCCTTCTAACTCTCAGTTCCTGAAATTTGCTAACCTGCCACCGCATCCTTCTTCACAAGCTCAACCAGTTCAGGCCTCCCACTCTCAATCAGAACCTTCATATCAGCAGCAGTGGTTGCCACCTCAGCAACAAATCCAACAACCGTCTGATGTTTATCTCTCATACCCGCCCAACCAACCAAATCCCGCTCCTGAGATGCGTCCAAATAATATGTCCTCTGGAATTTCCCAAGCAGCCCCTAATCGTTCCGATGGAATGCCATATGGCAATAGGCCAGCTCAGCAGCTGCAGGCTCCAGCTAACCATCATCTCAAGCCTGCATTTGGAACTCCTGGGGATGGGTATGGAAATTCTTATGTAATGTATGATGGTAGTGAAGGAGAAAGGGGTCATCATCCTCCAACATTCCCACAAGGCAGTTATCCTCCTCATCTGGCACTGCCTGCTGTAAACACTAATGTGATGGCTCATCACCCCTCACAAATGACGCGTAACCGTCCTCATAACGAGTTGATTGAGAAAGTGGTGAGCATGGGTTACAGGGGTGATCATGTCATTAATGTGATCCAGAGGCTAGAGGAGAGCGGCCAGGCTGTCGATTTTAATGCTGTGCTTGACAGACTGAATGGGCATTCTTCTGGAGGTGGCTTTCATAAAGGATGGTGAGTAAACCTGTATCTTACCGCTGCGATGTGGATTAATTATTATGCCTTTCACTGAACTGAATTCAGTACGGATGTGATTAAAACTTGGTACATATTGCATAATGATGTTCAAGAGATGCACGGTATTATTTGTCTGTCATCTCCTACCCCAGCTTTCACCCTTTAGTTGCAATCATCTTATTTTAAAAAATGCTGTATTCTTTTACTGCGATGCAGACCCTGATTGTTATATATTTCCATTTGAGACGGTGTTTGATACATCATAATAACCTCTATAAGCATCAGTGATAAATTTGATCAATACCTTAAGCATCAGTAACTCTTGTATGTGTAGCTTAGTTGTTATTGTGGTGATAAAAAGCATCAATGGATGTTGGTAAGAATCCCGCAATTGTAGTGTGAGAATCTATCTAATGATGATGGGGGTTTTATGGAACCAGAGAGAGTTTAGCCCCCCCCCCCCCCCCTCTATCCTGAAAACGAAAACTGTCAAAAATCATGCTGGGATGGACATTAATGACTTTGGGATGGGTAGAAGGTTCTGCGTTTTCCATTACTGGAATAAAAACCTTCTTACCTAGTTACTTACTTCGTTTCATGTCTCCTCTTATCCTAATAATTTACCTTTTTACCAGCTCCATTTATTTTGGATTTTTATGTGTTTTATTTTTCTAAATGTATTTTATTTGGTTGTGTTCTAATGTGATTCTTATCATTAGATAGTAATCAAAAGACTAAACTTATGCTAGGATTTTACGGAGTAATTGAGAAGAATATCGATATTAACTAATAGGGAAAGTTCCCGAAATAGGACTAAAACAGTTTGAAAATTTCAAAATAGGACTGCCATGTTTTTTATTCCCAAAATATGAATAATTACTGCCAAGTTTGGAAAATACTGCCACGTTTGAAGTCTGGTACTGGCAAAACATGACAGTAATTAGTCCTATTTTGGGAATAAAAACATGACAGTCATATTTTGGAATTTTCAAACATTTTTAGTCCTATTTCGGGTAATATCTCTAACTAATATAGCTCTCATTATTAGTTTTAATCATGTTAGCTAATAATTAACATATATAACGGTAATTGGATAATAATATGACTCCTAGAAGGCTAGAAGCAGGACTGGTCCAAGTGGACCAAGTGTCGCATTTAAGATTTTCTGTATGGGAGGAATTGAGTTCTAAGTCATCACGGAGTCCAAGTGGAATTTGAGAAAAAAAAAAAGGATGTAAATTGGACTATAATCACAATCTGACAGATACAGAGTGAGACTCTGTCCCCGATACTTGCAGAGGGATTAGTGTCAGTCCTCTTGAGAACACGCCTAATCAATCAGAAGGATTAGTTCGTCTGAATCAGGATCACTTTTTATTAATTAGAATGATTTAATTTTTAAGTAGTACAAGACAACCTCACATAATTATGATAGAACCGATCGTGAGCTCTAAGAATACACGTAGAATTAGACACCTCATACTTACAAAGTAACCTGATTTGCTAGACATTAAATGGACAAATATCTAAGTCAAACATACTTTAGAAATCCAAATTTGTAAATCAAACAGTAAAATCAAATACATACCACTAAAGGAACAATGAAATTAATTTTTAAGTAGTTAACATACATTTGAATAACGTCAACTAATTAACATATACTCCTATTTGAATAGTAACCTCATTAATAATTAATTTTGGTGGAGAATAATTACACCTGTAAGAATTAAACTATCAATGGATTTATCGAGAAAGTAGTTCAACAACGTAAAAGCAGTATTATTCTTCTTCTACTCTTATACAGTATATAAGAGTATTAATGTCTGTCACCTTTATGTTCACCTTTAATTTAATCATCCTAAATTAAGACTTGTAACGTTCCATCATTGATGCTTCCTTCGTTAGTTTTTGCCGCTGTCAATCGTGTTTATGCGTTACGGAACTATCGTCACGGAAACTCTAGGATGAGTTTGACCAGCACGAGATTTCTTATGAGCCTAGTACTTAATTGGTATCCAGGTCAATCCAAGTTTGATCGACTTAATGGTGCACTTGAATTTTCCTATTCAAGCTTCTATAATTTGCCCGTTAATCCTTATTTTGAATTGGCCCTTATTGTTACTTGGGCCGGGTCAGGATTATACACATTTATTTTGGGATTTGGATGATATATATATAGGTCAAGCTCATAGTACCATTACAATAGTACCATCAAAGTATCAAACATAATTAGAATACTAATATGACTTGATAAGGATATGTAAAAAGTTCCTGGTTTACATTGATAGATTTATAGTCCCTTCGGGGACATCCGATAAAATTGGAACGATACAGTGAAGATTAGCATGACCCCTGCGCAAGGATGACACGCACAAATCGAGAAATGATAGATTTATATTTGTTTTTGATTGATTATATGAATTGATTTATACGTAGTATGTGAGATTTATATTACAAGGGCCTCATGTATACGGAGTATAAATATACTCCGTGGTATAACTTATTTTATTTATATGCTCTAGTGCCCAATGCCCTATATCATGTATTCACGTTGAGCCATTTGGGTGTCTGCATGTGTGACTCGTTAATATGATACGGAGTAAGATTTTCTTTGGTCTTATTAATCAATCAATTTTTATTAACAAATACTCCCTCCGTCCCATTTATATTGTCCCGGAAGAGGGTGACACGATTATTAAGAAAAGTGGGTTTGTGTGGTTGATATTAATTAATAAAGTAAGAATAAAGTAACAATGATTTAGAGCCACACAAACATTGCCAAATATGGTATGGGACAATATAAGTGGGACTTCCCGAAAAGGTAAAACGGGACAAAATAAATGGGACGGAGGGAGTAATATCGAGTCTATCGTACTCCATAACTTTTAATTTTAATTACTAAATTGTGTATAAGTTATGCAAACACTTTAAACTACTTACTAACCATTACTAACACTTCCATTACTAACACACGTTAACGCTCCATCCAAACAAGCCGTAAGTGTTAAGGAGGATTAAAATAATCATCTTAAATCAACAAACAATACATATGTATGAATAAAATAAATATTATTTACAAAAATGTAACTTCCTAAGTGTAGTGAATAGTAACTTATAGTAACTTCCTAAGTGATTATATATAGTAATAACTTAGTTATAGTAACTTATATTCAAAATTTATACTTAATTGATTACGAGACTATACTATAGTACATAATACTAGTAGCTATAATCATATTTTTATAAATTTGTAATTTTTTTTAAGGAAATGTGGCTTATATTGATATCACAACATACGGATATGGGCTAAAAAACAAAAAAACTGCTGGCAACTGCCGACTCTCGAACCAGACTCAGAGTTAATCACCTCAAAAGAAGCAATATAACTCGCTAATTCATTAATGGGCGCAACTGAGCCAAAGACGATTGCCGCAAACTCCCTATCACCCAAATCCAAGCTCAAAGTCTTACAATGCAACAAGAAAACAAGTAAAAAAACACAACATCATAAAAAACAAGCGCGACAACAATAAAATAAAAGTTCTTCTCCGATTTCCAAAGATAAAAGACCATCCGCCATCTTATCCAGCTGCCTGAGTCTTTCCCTTCAGTGGGCTTAGACTTCTGAGCCTGTCTCCTCCCCGCTTTTTGACTTGTCAACAACCATATTATCCCTGCCTGATCCACTTTGGTCCTGTGCATCCCAAATCATTCTCCTCTTCTGCTCGCCTGACACTTCCTCATTGCTCTCTAACTCCCCATCCTTAGTCGTGCTATCTCCTGTTCTAATTGTAGATCCCTTCCAGTCTTGACCACCTTACCCGCCTCCTGTTTTGGGGTTCTCTTTGGATGGATAACGCCGAGCTGCACTGGAGGATCCCTCTACGAGCCATTTGTTTCCTCCTGTAGGACTAGTTTTCACTACCCCACCACCTCTCAAACTAACTCCATAATTTTTTCTCCAAAACCCGGTTATCCTCATAAGTCAGGGGACAAAACTTATCAGCATGACCAATAATCCCACAATAAATAAAATAGAAACTGGGCAACTTTTTATATTTAAAATCCACCCAATGCCCAATTCCTGCTTTCTTTAGGCTTGTCCCTTTCTTCAGAGGTTTATTCACATCCATACAAACCCTTACCCGTAAATAATTAAGCCTCCCACTTTTCATAAAATTGTTTATCATCATATTTGACAAAGCTACCAATAAATTTGCCAACCCTTCTAGCAGTACATAGGGTCATCAAGCTGTAAGGAACATTATGGACCTGAACCCAGAATTCTGCTTCTTTAAGATCAATTTTGAGTGGATTTCCTCCGGATTAACTTTTTTTAATAACAACATATTCCTTTCAAACATCCACGGACCACCATCTAAGAAACGATTCATATCCACCCTATGATAAAATATAAAGAGGTACCTTTTCTCTCTAATTTCTTTGATTGAAACCCCTTTACCCGATAGTCATAGGAACTTGATCTTTCTATCCGCTAGCAAAACGCCGACCATCGGGAAAGTTGGCGAAGCCTCCGCCGCCGCGGCCTCACTGCCATCCTCCTTATCCAGATCTAGTTCACATGCCTACTCGTCAATCGCCATTTGCTTATACTGAGCCACGATTGAGTCCATCAGTAAATTCCGTTTCCAGCACCAAACCTTCGCCCCTTCCGTTGCTCTTCTGCGTGAAAGAGAAAACGAGAACAATACTCGTTGCACCGATCTCCACAAGAACGATACTCGTTGCACCCCGTCTATCAAAACCGACAAGCCAAAGAAAAGAACTCCTAATAGGAAATCAAATCAAATCGGAAATCCTTGCTTCACTAATCGGAAACCAAAGCAAACTCCGCTCCTCGGCTATTGCCGATAGCGGAAAAACAATTCCAGCGGCGCTAACTCTACAGAGAGACTTTGTGCATAGGTCTTATTTTATTATTGTAAATTTTTTTAAAAAGCCTCTTAAATTAATATGCCACATAGACTTCGTTTGGATGCTGGCGTTTCATTCCAATTTGCCAAAAAATTATAACTGGAAACGCTGCTTGACTTAGCGTTTTGGCCCCAACCCGCCGATTAACAAACATGGCCATTATATAATTCATTTCCAGATGATATCGAGAATAATGATATGATGCCATTATTACTTTGATATGTCATGCCCGAGTGAATGAAGCATAAATACATAATTATTGTATTTTAAGTAATGTTGTATTTCATTTTTTGTATACACTAATAACATTATTAGGGAGCAGCAAACAAAATCATTTCTCACGGTTTTTTTATATTTAACTTGTATATATAGTTCTATAA